GCCCTATCGAATCCTTGAGGCCTCGCGCGGCAACTTGAGCCCCAACTCCCGTCGGGTCCACGTCTGCTTTTCGTCGGGTCCACGTCGGGTTACGTCGGAATTGCGTCGGAACCGCACCGAATCGACACGTCGGACGTGCGTCGGGGCATCGCCGCGCAAACGTCGACGCACGCCTTACGGAGCGGACTTGTGGACTAGAAAACAAAACTATTGCGCCCCGCGCAATCCCTTCAAACTTTTCCCCATATACCTCCCACGTCCACCTCCTCATCCGCAATTCAAAACTAACAGTGGTTCGCGTCATGATCGTTGAAGTTTGAGAGCCTCATATGCCCTGCCCCTCCTGGAACCGCTCCCGATTTCAACGCGAAGCAACGAACCTCGAGCACAGGCTTAAGCAAGGAGGGAGAGGACGTCAGCAGTGACGACTGCAGCGCTAACAAAATGGCGCACATACGAATGCCACTGCAAAACGCACAACTGCGGCGCTGAGAACATAGCAATGCACTACAGGTACGCGTTGCGCCATGAAAGTTGACACGCTGACCAAGCCATCCCTCCAACTCCTGAAAACATCCTGCCTCACACGCGGAAACCCAAGCCCATGCTAGAGAACCAAAACGCAGCGCAAAAAGTGCAATACCAAACAAGTAAGCTCCACAATGCACGAGCAAAACAGACGTTCAACAGAAAGTCGAAAAATAAGAAGTTTGAGCACGAGCCATCGGAGCGTGTCCACCAATGCTCAAACCACTCTAGATTCCCTGATCCATGCCGACGCAGCCAAACGAACGCACTGCAAAACATTGCAGCGCCACAGCAAACACATGCAAAGACTAAACCCAAACGTGTGGCTCCGCTTGGCACTTGGGCACTGCAACCTCCCAACACCTCCCCAAACTCTCTCCCGACTCGCACGCGAAATCCACATGCAAAGTTGACCTTCCGCTAAAAAAACGCGATTGCGGCTCGGCTGCTTGGCGCCCCGCCGTGCGCTGCACGGCTAGTACTGTAGGTGTCTGGTCGGTGTGGTTGGCGCGTTCCGCACCACACCCCCCTGAGCGTCCCCCCAACCTGTTCCGAATCGCACGCGAAGCAAGGGCCAATAAGATCAAACTGTAACGACGGCGCGTATAAGAACTGATAAGCTACAACGAAGGACGCACTGCAGCGTAAACAGTGCAACAGATGCAACAGAATGGCGCTTCTGGCCAATGTGGCAGGCGCCTTGGACTCTGAATCCTCCCTGGATCTCTTGGCTGCTGCCTCTCCAGGCTCACACGCGGCGCAGAGAATCAGAAGCTTCAGCTGGAGCGCACTCCCGCTCACACTCCGCTCTTCTAGGGCTCCCAACTTCGCGCTTCGCGCTCCGCGAAGCGCGAAGCGCGAATAACTTCGCGCCCTCGCGCCGCCCCCCCAAAGGGAGAAAAGGAGGACGAGGAGGAGGGGGAGAAGGAACGAGGACCGCGAAGCGCGAAGCGCGAATAACTTCGCGCCCTCATGGGAGCCCTTGGCTCTTAATCGCATTCACAACACCAACTCCTCTCTCTTTCTCTCTCGGTCCTCCTCCCAGGGCCGAGCGCCGGCGAGCGGATGGCGTGTCGCGCAGCTGCGTGCGCAGCACGGGGAGGCCGGGAAAAAGCTCGAGACGCTGGCGCCTGGGGACTGGCGCGTGTTGAACAGGGACCGACCGTCCCGGCATTCCTATAGGCCTACCACGACATGCTCTTCATAGAACCACAAAGTGTTCTGAGAACAGAGGCCGTGCTCTTCGAATGTAACCCCGAGGTGTTCAGACAAGACAGCCCCAGCCAAAACAGTTCTATCAACATTTCGTGCAAACCACACAAGGTTCTTTCGGGAATGGACAGACCTCCCTTTAGTACAACGTGGTTTAGCGAAAACGACCTGAGGCCCAAACCTGGCGGGTGCAAGTCTGGAAAATAACGGCCGCGGCGCCCTCTCGAGAACCGAAAACGGACAATTCACTAATCGACGTGTCACTGTTGGGGGTTCTGTCCACCCCCGATTCTTGGAACATCCGTTGGTGGGCCTATAGGCGAGCCAGGACGCTTCGCCACTGCTTGAACGTAGACAGCGTGTCGCGCAGAGGCGCGGCGGGCCAGCACCGGCGGAACGGCACGCGGACCAGAAACGGCAGCGAGCACAACGATAACGATAACGATAACGATAACGATCAACGACAACGATCAACGACAACGATAACGATCAACGACAACGATTACAACGATGACAATAACAAAAACCATAACGATAACGATCAGCGATAACGATAGTGAAAGCGCGCCGCGGCCTTCTCAGGGCGTTCCAGAACGCTCTGTGAGCGCTGCGGGACAATCTGGAAGGGATTCATCCTCGTCCTAGCTCCGCCCGAAGAACCCGCGCTCCACCAAGCCCGAAAGAACCACGGTGCCCTGACATGCGACGTTGCAACAAAAACTGCAACACCGCAACAGAAAACACGACAGGACCTCCGGGGCCCATCTTTCTACGTCATTTTTCCGGATCGATCCGTGAAGCTCCCGGGGCCCGAATTGAGCGAAAACGCCCGGCTCGAAACAGTTGAGTCGCCATGCAGGATCTCGGGAAGCTTCAACATGGTCCATCCAGACCCAGGTTAGTCAGGCTTTGCAGGATCCTGCAAGATCCTGCAGGATCCTGCGCCCAAGCCCGGGTCAGTGCGCCCCTGGCTCTGCAGGATCCTGCAAGACCCCGCGCTCTGGCCGACCCCCCGTTTGCATTGACCCCCGTCTCTTGTCGGGTGTCGCTAGAAGTACCCCTGGCCCAAGGTGCCCCCAGCTTTTCGACCCATCTTGGAGCCCCTGGGGGCCCTCTGGGCCTCGTGAGGGGTGCTCTGGAGGCCGTTCGGGCTACCCCGAGCACTCTGGGGGCTGCCCCCTGGCCCGGAGGCACTCCCAGCAGCACCCGAGCTCAACCCCGAGGCTCTCACGGTGGGGCCACGCCGGCCGGGGCCTCGGGGCCGCCCGTGGAGAGGCGGAACGCCTCGGTGGAGAAGGTCACCGACTCCTGGCGCGCGCGCGGGGGGGCCGCGCCAGGGGCGGCACGCCCTGCAGTGGAGGCCAGCCCACAGGGAACCTCCCACGAGAAGCCCAACCCTGAGGCCCCTGGGCGTCCCATCGACTCCTGGCGTGGGAGCGTCACGCCCTCCGCCGCAAGACCATCGGAACCCAGGGAGCCCAGGGCGCCCTGGAGGCCAGCAGGGTGCTTCTTGGCACGGGCCTCCCCTGCATGGCGCTGCCTGGCGGCGCGAGGGGGCGGCCTGTAGGGGCACGGCGGGCGGGGGCTTCCGATGGGCAGCACGGCGTTCTCTTGTGCACGCGCCACCCCCACAGGGAGCGCATGTTGCCACTCGCGGCCCACCAGGAGGAGGAGGAGGAGGAGGAGGAGGAAGAGGAGGAGGAGGAGGAGGAGGAGGAGGAGGAGGAGGAGGAGGAGGGGGAGGAGGAGGAGGAGGAGGGGGGGGACCGGGAGGGAGGGGGGGGTGACGGGAGGGGGCATAACGTGGCGCCCCCCTCCCCCGTAGACGGTGGTGCCGGACGCACTGTGGCGGCGTTGGGGCCGCACGGGGGGGGGGGGCGTTACGTTACGGGGGGGGATGGGGGGGGGGGGGAGGGTAGGGGACAGAACGCGCGTTACGGCCCAGAGGGTCAACAAAAACACTCTCAAACAAGCTGGACCCACACAAGACCTTGGAGAGGGGTGTGTGCGTGTGTGTGTGTGTGTGTGTGCAACACTGGCACCCCCTGAGGATGCAGCTTTGGAACACCACCCCGACAAGCAGGCCGATCCAGCAGAGGCTACGCGCGCGGGGGCGGGGGCCTCAGATCTGCCCCCGATCTTAGGAGGCGGGGGCCCTCTCTGCGGCGAGGGTGGTGTCGTGGTGCAGTTGGCTCAGGATGCGTCCCAGAGGCTCCGGAATATCTGGCGGCCCTCGTTCCTGCAATCTGCGTGCGGCACCAGGACATCTCGGCAATCCTGTGAATCTTCGACGTGAGCTTGCAGCGTGCCAATCTCGTGAACTATTGCTCCCCTGATTCTCGGACGTGCCTGGGGGCTTCCCGTGGGGGCTTCTCAGAAGGCCGCCCCCTTCTCGCCACCCCCCTCAAGAGCGCGCCACGCGGCAGCAGTACGCCAAGAGATGCGCGCGGGCGCGGCAATCGGTGATCGGCAGCGCGATGATCACACACACGCACACTTGCACACACACACACACACACACACACACACACACACACACACGCACGCTATGCGGCAGAGCAGCCGAGCAAGACTCGCACATCGAGGGCAGTGAACTGCGAAGCAAACAGCAGGAAGGCCGGCAAGAGCCGAGTCGGGAGCGTCCCAAACGGGGGGCCTCCAGGAGGGAGGGAGGCCCATCTTGGCCCGAGGCACGTGCGCGGACCAGCGAAGGAGGGGAGGACCAGGGAGCGTGTGGAAAGACGAAGTTGCGGCCAATCCGGAGGGATATCATGGCCGTGGCCATGGTGTCCGCCCACCTAGTCGTCACCCCCCTGTTGGCAGCCTCCGATAGGGTGGTGAGAACCGCGCTGGAGGGGCTGGTATTTGTGTCCCTCCCCTGTGCTTCGACCAGGGCCACGCTGACGGCGATGTTCGTTAACGGCAATGTTGGGAGTCTAGTTTCTGCGACGCCGATCTGGCGACAAGACTGTAGGACAGCACGAAGCACACGCTCCCCTACGTCGTGTCGACTGCGCGAGCACGCGTCGAGCAACAGCGGCACGGCGAAGTGTAGGAACGCAAGAGCAGCGCTGCCCTGCGAGTGGGCTGGCCACGCACCACCCCCATCTGCCGTACAGAAGGGGCCCTGGGACACACAAATAAATACACACGAATAAAAAGATTCCCTATATTTGTTATATTTTCTGGGCTTCTGTCTTCCCCACCACTTCCCATATTCTCCCATATTTTCTGGGGGATCGACGATTAATTGTGTCTGTGTGTGTTTTCCCCGCCTGCAGAGCCGGAACCGACGTCGCCGTCGCCGACATCGCCGCTCGCGCGCCTGCGGCTCGCTCTCCGCAGGCCGGGCCGGGTGTCTCCGCCGGCCCAGGCCGCCGCTCACGGGCGGAACTCCAGCAGCGCCGACGGCGTGCCGCCGTCCGACGGGGGGTCCACGAACTCCTCGTAGTCCCGCAGGACCTGCCGGGATCCCAGCGAGCAGCTGCACAGGCCCATCGTGCACGAAGCCAGGACAAGGGCCCAAGCGGGCTGGGACACATCCGGGATCTCTCTGGGCGCCCGACCTGTCCGGGACAATGCGGGGCGAGTCCGGTCTGGGCCCGCGAGGCACAAATCTGCAATTACCCCTGCCCGTCCCCAACCCCGATGATTCGGGGCTCTGATCCCTGAGATCTGGAGATTCTGAAAGACATATCGGGCGCCACATCACAGGTGAATCAAAGCTGTTGCACCCATGAGTCAAAGCTATTGCACCCAAGCAACCTCCACAGCGTTGCGGCACGCTCTGAGAACGTCCTGGAACGCTCTGGAACGATCGATCCCGATCCAAGGGTTCTGTAGCGAATCATCTGAGCCTCCCATGCCATCTTGCTGGATCTTGCGAGTCGAGGCTGACCGGCGCTAGTCGATGGCCATCCACGCTACATCAGCGATAATCGAAGCTAGATCTGCGCCTTCTCGTTGATTACCCGACGCTAGCAAGCCAACGCACCAGAAAGACGGACGTCAGAGGACGTACATCAGGCTCCCATGGGGTGCTATCGAACAGGGCCTGCCTGATCCTTCCCCCTCTGCTCTGATTCCCCTTTCCTGGGAGGAGGGAGGGCGAGAAACGAGATTCGGGCGACAAGGATGTCATGACAAGATTGGCCCCAGGATTTCTAAGGAGTATTTAGCGGCGCAGCCGGTGCGGAACATGAGGAAAGATGGTGAATCCTGGCAACATTCAAAAATTCTGGGATCGACCGAGTGAGATCGAAAGCAGGGGCGATAGTGACAATACCTCGCAGCGCAGCGTCGTCATCATGCATCATCGCGAACTCGAGGGCGAGCCAACGGCATCGTCATCATCACACCCATCGCATTCGCCAGCAATTGGTTCTTCCCCCCCACCCCCCAACCTCCTCATCGCCCAGAGGCTGGCCGTAGAGGTATGTGAACTCCTGGAAACCTTTGGTATCCTGGAACGGACAGCTCGGGGTGTCTCCCAGGGTTTCCCTCTTCCTCTGAGCGGCTTCAGTTTTCGTCGAAGAGTTGGGGTTTGGGAGAGAACAATCGCCTGCGATGCCCCAACCCTTAACCTCCTGATCGCCCGAAGGCTGGCCGTAGAGGTATGAGAACTTCTGGAAACCTTGGAAAGCCTGGAACGTACCACTATCCTGACCTCCCTGCTCCTCTGCGACGTGGGTCCTCCCCCGACCTGTAGCAGCGTCTCCAGGGGGACTCCGGCCCCGAAAGTGTGCAGCCAGCGCGCGGGCAGGTGGGCGCTGAGGTTCTGGTGGGGCGCATGGGGCTGCCAGGAGGCGTTGGGCAGCCTTTGCAAGGGCAGGATTGGGCGGCGAACGAGGGGGGGAAAGCGAGAAGGAGAGGGCCTCCTCCTCCTGCTACTCCTCCTCCTTCTCCTCCTCCTCCGCCTCCTCCTCCTCAGCAGGCGGCGGGGCTTCTCAGAAGGCCTCTGGCCTTCTGAGAGGTTTTCTGTGTCTTTGAGGGAGGCTCCGAACACTTCTCAGAAGGCCGAGGGGCTTACGAGCCTGCTGAGAAGGCACGCCCCTTCTCACTTCCTCCCCTCGCTCGCTGCCGAAGGAGTGAAGGGGCTCAAGGACACACAAACAAATAGACACAGATCCTAGAACGCCCCATGGGTGCCAAATGTCCTGGATGCTCGTCTTCCCCTCCACTTCCAATACTTCTCATACGTATTCCCCTGGGAATCGACGATTATTGTCTGTTTTCCCCCCCTAAAGGATGAGCCAGCATCGAATCGGGAAATCGGATCGGATCGGAATGGAAATCGGGTCGGGCCGCATCGGTACGGAGTCGGAATTGAATCGGATCGGCTGCGCCAGGACGCACAACAGCGCCATGCATGCGTCAAGCCGAATCGCATCGAACGATATCGGGATCGAATCGGATCGGGCCAGCCGGCATCGGTATCGAATCAAATCGATCGGATCGAAATGGACCCTAAAGGAGGGACAAACAGATACCGATGCCTACTCTGCGACCTCTCCTTGGGCGCATTCTGACCACGACTTGGGGCAAATCCAGCCGTGGCGACGAGACGATGCCTCGCGCCATTCCCGACGCGGGGCCTGTGCTAGCCTTGTGCGAGATTCTGCTATCATCCCGCCCATCCCAGATGAACCACAACTCTAATGCGCACCGATGCATGCCGAACTGGGCAACGACTACAACTGAAGGGTACTGGCATCGGTACCGTTTCCTCCTCTCCTTCCTCGTCGCAATTCCCAACGTAGATTCCCTCCTTTCTTGTCGGAGGGGGCCGAGAGGATGACGAGGAGGAGGGATAGATCCTCCTCCTCCTCCTCCTCCTCGTCCTCCTCCTCCTCTTCCTCCTCACCGTCCTCCTCCTCCTCCTCCTCCTCCTCCGCCTCCCCCTCCTCCTCCCCCTCCCCCTCCCCCTCCTCCTCCTCCTCCTCCTCCTCCTCCTCCTCCTCCTCCTCCTCCTCCTCCTCCTCCTCCTCCTCTCCCTCCCCCTCCTCCTCCTCCTCCTCCTCCTCCTCCTCCTCCTCCTCCTTGAAGCCTCTGGGAGTTCAGCCAGAAGCTGCGCAGCGTGTGCTGCCCCGCGCAGCCGCCCTCGGACGCCCGCCTGCGGTAGCAGAGGCGCTGTTCCGTGGAGGAGCCCTCCGCGCCAGAGGCCGCGGCGGAAGGGAGCGTCGCCGCCACCCGCGTGCGGCCGGGCGCGACCCCGAGCTCAACCTTCGGGGAGCAAAAACAGCACGGTGAGGGCACGGGATACAGAAGCATGTCGACGGCCCGCCCGGAGGGGAAGTCAGCGGGAGCGGGGCTTCTCAGAAGGCTCGGAAGTCCCTCGGCCTTCCGGGAAGCTCTCTCAGCCTTCCCCGACGACTCGGGGGCTTCTCACAGGGCCGTGGGCCCTCTGAGAAGCCACGCCCCCTTCTGAGAAGGCCTTCTCCTCCTCACTTCCCCCCCTCGACGAGGGGGGGGGGAGTGAGAAGGAGAAGGCCTCCCCCCCCCCCTCGCGCGCCGCCGATCCTTGGAGAAGGCATCCAGGGCCTGGAGGCCGGCGGAGATCCAATCGGTGATCCTCAGAGCGTGTGTGTCAGAGCCCACGCGTGCCCGCTCGCCGAAGCCCTTCGGTGAAAAGGCGGGCGGTGCCGTGCGGACCAGAGCGGGCCGCGCGCTTCTGAGGCGAGACGAGGAACGGGGAAAACGCAGACGGCGGAGGCTTTAGATGAGGATGCCTTCGAATAAGGAACCCAGGCTCTCGCGGCCGATGGGCGGCCCAGGGTGGGCCACCCACCTCGCCTTGAAAAAAAAAGGAGTGCGCCAGGGTCTGGCAGAGGGTCTGGGCCCCAGGAGCACACGCTTCTTCTCCCGTGCCTTCGCCGCATGGGGCCAACAAACATCCCGAGGACCATCGATCCAATCGTGGAGTGGCCACGGATATCACCGCCGCCCTCGTCAGACGAGGAATCTTCCAGGGCCTGAAGCCTCCCGATCGCATTCCTGAACCGGCGGCCCCGCAGTATCAGTGACTCGCAGCCGTTGGGAACCCATCAGCGCGTCGCTGATGACGGAGAAGCATGAGGCATTCGGACAACAACGAAGGAACAGCACGCTGACGGGCGTCCAACGGCAGCGTGCCATTGACACTCTCTCTTCAGGAGAGGCTCAGTCTGGACGGAAGGGGGCCCAGACGGAGACCGAACACTCCGTGCGGACTAACACGGTACGGACTTAGCATGCCATCAGATGGGGCTAGGTCTGGACGGACTAAACCCAGACGGAGATCGAGCAATCCGTACGGACGTCCTTCGCACGGGTTTAGCATCCTCCGATTCTTCCCTCCCGAGACCTCGGCATCTAGCAGGCCGTCCCAGCCGGTGACCAGCGCCTGCAGGGCCCCCTGCAGGCTGCAGGCCTGGGCAAGAATAGAGAGAGAGAGAGGGAGAGAGAGAGAGAGAGAGAGACCGAAAGAGAAGTGGCCGCACCAGCATAGTAGAACCTTCGAAGACCGCGCGGACTTTTCGGGATCCGTGGACCACTACTCTGTGCGGCAATTCTTGGGAGCCTCCCATGCCATCTTGCTGACCCGTGCGCATCGACGCTGCCCGAAACTAATCAACACTAGCCGAAGCTAATCGACGCTGAATCGACGCTAGCCCGCGCCAAATCGACGTTGGATCGGCGCGTTCTCATCGAGCACCCGAGGCTAGCGCACGCTAGTGCACTCCTAGAACGGAATTCCGAGGACACACGAGGCCCCCATGATTTGCTGCCGCCCCCCCCATCCCTGATGCGCGGAGCGCGCCAGTGGCGGCGCCGGAAGCGCCGCCAGGGGGCTCCAGCTGCGATCGGAGAACCCCGCGTGGACCTCCGATCGCGCGGTCGAGATCTCTTCTGCGTAGCGCGTCGCGGCGGCGGCCTCAGCGACCTTCCATGCCCTGCCAACGGACTGCGTGCCCCTCCGCCCCGCGGGGCGCCCTCGCCCTCCTCCCTCCAGGCATTCCGTGCTGACCTTCCACACTCTTGCGCGTCGTGAAACGCTGAATTTGTCCCGGGATTGCCAGAAGCATGATGAATCGTTTCACTGCTTCACCTTCCGCGCCTTCCGTGAAGGTCGGCAGGTGTGGAAGGTGGAGGTGGAAGGCGGGAGGGTGGGAAAGGGGCTCGGGACGTTGACGCTCAGAGACCAGGGCGTGCCCAGCGTGTCGCGCCGAGGCGCGGTGGGCCAGACCCGGCGACGCGGTCCGTTTACGGAGAGGCGCGGCAGGATCAATCCGCACGCGCGCTCGAGTAGCCGAAGTCCTAACCGCATAAGAGGGGCAATTCCCGACAGCATGAGCGGAACAACATATTGCATACTCTAGGTCTCTTGATAAACGTCGGGGGAGCATCACCCCCGCCGACAGCCCCACATCGACCCCAGTCGCTCGCGGGCAGCCCCCGCGCGCCGCAGGCGCTCCGGCCCCCGTCGCGGCGCGACGACGAGGCGAGGTTGACCCCCGTCGGGGGGTACCCCCCCCGGCCCCCCCCACGCTTGTGAAGAAACCCAGAGGACACCTGAACTCGCGGGGGTCCGCGAGGAGCTCCAGAGACTTCTGCTCGTGCCGTTGGCTGCTCCTCGACCTCTGCTCCCGCGGGTTTCCCTTCCCCGAAGGCCGCGTCGCAGCCAGCGCCAGCGGCCGCGGCCGCGGCGGCGTCCAGGCCCTGGAAGAGCAGAGCGGCCTCCAGCGCGGGGTGGTACCGCCGCCCGCCGCGCTCCTCCACCAGGGGCGTGGCGAGCAGCTCGCGCCAGTGGGCCCTCACCTGAGCGACGACGAGAGCGGGGGGGGGGAGGAGGATGAGGAGCAAAAGGAGAAGGAGGAGGAGGAGGAGGAGGAGGAGGAAGAGGTGGAGGAGGAGGGAAAGGAGGCGGAGGAGGTGGAGGAGGGGGAGGAGGAGGAGGAAGAGGGGGGCTTCACGCAAGGAGACTCAGCGACCGCACGTGGTGGCATACGCGGGCCGCCAGCGCAGCACGCTGCATTCAGAACGAAGGCGCTTGCGCACAACCTTACTGGAGGAAGGTCCACGGCATGAACATTACATTTGAGAGGTCCGCGAAGATATCTTGGATCCGCGGTGCGCGCCAGGGGCGGCGCCGCACGCGCCGCCAAGGGGGGGGGACCCAGCGCGGATCCAAGAAACCCCGCGCAGAGCGCCAACAAATTATGTGTATGCAGTTTTTTTTTCTTCGAGATGTCCGCGCCGTCGATCGAACGAAAGGACCAGTCGGCAAGAAAGATCGGGAAATCCGACCGAGCCAGGAACATGCGCGCGCAGGATCGGCAACGCATCGGCACGGAGCTGGGACCACATCGGATCGGTCGCGCCAGGATGCATCTTTTATCCTTGAAGACGGAGCCAGGGCGGGGACAGAATCGGACAAGGACGAATCGGTGATCCCTGGGATCCCGCGGCTCTGGAGGATGTATATCGGGAGCCGCGGCCTTCGCAGAGCGTCCCAGAACGCTCTCACCAGAACGCTCTGGACCGACTTATCGCTGTCCTAGCCAGGCCCATTTTCTACAAGCACGAGAAAGACCCCCCGTGGCTACGGTAGGTTCGCGCGGCGTCGGCGCGCGCAAAAAGGTTTTTGGCACCGCGTCGATCGTTCAACCTTGAATCGATCGCAGCCGTGATCGTACAATATTGAATTCCGTCGGGTCCAGTGGCGTCACCGTGTCCCTCCGGTGCTTCCGCGTCGCAGAATTCAACCTAGAACGCCTTCGCCGGCGTCGCTGACGCGCCATCGCCACATGAACCTACCGTAGGTGAAGGGAGGAGAAGGCAAGGGGGTAGGAGATGGAAGAAGGGGAGGTGAGGGAAGAAGGGGAGGGAGGAGAAGAGGGAAGAAGAAAGCAAGGGAGGAGAAAGCAAAAGGGGGATGGGCAGAAGAGGGCGACAGCAGCAGCAGCATCAGTCACAACAGAGCGGCTGGCAGCACCAGCCTCAGCTCAGCACAACAGCGCCGTGTAGGCATCGAGGCGCATCGGTTGAGCAGAGACCGACCGTTCTGGCATCCCCATAGGCCTACCACGACGGCATCCACATTGGCCTACCACGAGATGTTCGTGGAACGAAGGACTGCTCGAATAATGGGGACAGTGCTCTCAGAGCCGAAAGCCGATTGATTAGAACAAGACGGCCTCAGCCAGGAGTGTTCTGAGAGCATCTCGTGCAAACCACACAAAGTTCTGAGGAGCACTTGTTGGTGGGCGTAGGGGCAATACAAGACACTTCGCCACTGCTTGACGGATCCTCGCATTGGGGGCCCTAGAACCGTGAGGTGACAGACCCGGCGGTGACCTCGAAATCCGCAAAGACCTCACCGCAGCGTCCGTCACCGCACGGTTTGGGGACCTCGGAGGCCCCCGTCGCACGAGACATCCTCGGAAAACGACGCAGGTCCCAAAACCGAGCGGTGACCCCGAACCCCCACCGACCCACCACACGTTGTGGTCACCGCACCGTTCGGGGGCCCCCGATCGCAACACCGGAACCAGATCGGACTGGGCTGGTCGGCATCGACCTCGGACAAGGCCGCCCGCTCGGATCGAAGCAAGGCCAGGCGGGCGGGCGCGCCCATCCCAAACATCCAGCGGATCCGTTCGGCTACACGCAAGAGTGACCCTGGGTAAGAGGGACCTTTGGTGCGCGGCTTCTTGGGGGCCGCGCGGGAACCAAACACGAGCGCGCAAGACGCTAATACCGCATCGCGTTCGGGGATCGGGAGACCCCATTGGGGCCCGCACCAGAGGTCACTCTGGCGAAAAGGTCACTATTACACGTAGTCGATCGGTGTGCGCGCGGGCATGCACTCCTCCTCGACGCTGGCGCTGCTCGCAGGGGGGCGAACGCGGGGAATGCGGAGACTTGGGGCCCGCGCGGGCGTGCATACTCCTCCCAGGCGTCGGCGCCTCTCGCAGGGGGCGAACCCCCGGGGAGCGGTGGGCACGAAGACTTGGGGCCCCCCCGGGGCCGCGGCGGGGCCCTGGATCCGACCGACACCGACGCGTGCCCCCGGAACGCTGGCCACGGCATCCCCAGCGTGGCTGAAGTCCACCGAGATGCTTCGCTCCCAGCGCGGCTTCAAGGAACGATGCGTTGCTCTGCGACGCCTTGCCACGCGTCGGCTTCCCGACGCCTCGAGTATGCCTGGGGAGGGCCAGGTCTAGAGGGTCGGGGCTGAGGGCGCTCTGGAGGCGTGCCACTTTCTTTTGCAATCTGCAGTTCTTGTTTGGGATCAACTGGCCGCCATGGGCGATGCGCCGACACCTCAAAAGCTGCACCGATGACCAGAAAACGAAGTTGTCAGGTTCCTGCGCGCAGCTGTATAGAAAGGCAGAGGATCTGGCCTAGGAACATAGGCCCAGATCCTGTGCAGGGCCTTCTGGCTACCAGCCGCTCTGCGCGGCTTCCAAGACCTCCTCGGTCCGCCGCGCGTGCGGCGTCCGCTCGGCCAGCATAACATCAGAGTGAGGGGGCTGGACGATCATTCACTGTCCCTGGGTGCGTAGCTGAAGTGGGGTTCCGCGGTGCGGATGATTGTTGCGTTGTTGCGTTGCGTTGTCTTGCTGCTGTCCTCGTCCTCGCCCGCGACCTGCCCGCGACCCACCCGCGACCGTCCCCGCAACCACCCCGCGACCCACCCAGCGACCCACCCTGTGACCCACCCGCAACCCACCCGCGACCCATTAACGTAGCTGTGACGAAAAGTGCTCCCCCGGCGGCGGGCAAGTTGTGTACTCTGTTGCCTTCTAAGAAGAATCCTCGACCGCTGCGGGCTTCTTCAGAGCTTCGCAGACTGCCGGCGACCCGGCCGCCCCCCCCTCACTCCCATCCGCGGCTGCGGGGTGCGCTGTGCTGATGTGTGTTCGATCCTGGCGCTGCCTCTCCGCTTCGGCCTCCGGGGCCCCTTTGTGGGGGCCGTCGGGGCCATCACGGATGGATCCGGGGCGAGGAGGAGGGAGGAGGAGGAGGAGGAGGAGGAGGAGGAGGAGGAGGAGGAGGAGGAGGAGGAGGAGGGGGAGGAGGGGGAGGAGGAGGAGGAGGACCTTCCCATCCTCTGTTCTCCCTCGTCCTGCGGTAGTGATGCTGTTGGAAGATTGGCCCACCATTGCAGGCCAGGATGTGCCCGACCAGCTGCCTCCCCTCCCCGGGTCACCGCAAGGAAGCAGTCGTAGCCGCTGTGCAGGCAGCCGCTGGGCTCCTGCCGAGCGGCGACCGTGTCCGTATCCGCGCCGTCGCGGTCTGGACTCTCGGGCGGGATCCCGCGGATACGCTGAGACGTAGCCAGGACGAGAATAGGTTTGTGTGAGGGTATATCGCAAAAATCTCTGAGATCCGGCGGCTCTGGAGAATGTCTCGGGCGCCGCGGCCTTCTCAGAGTGTTCCGGAACGCTCTGGAACGGATTTGTCCTGGTCCTAGCCCCGTCCGCGGATACGCGATCGCACGGTTCCACTCCGCGCGGGGCATCCGTGGAAAAAAACGCCCCGTACCCGTGGGGTCGCGGCCCAAGGGCCCGGCCCGCGAGGCCGCGGCTACATCGATACTTCCCGCCAACTGTGTCAGGTGAGGGCGGCACGCAACTGGCAGAAGACCAGCCTTCACGAACAAGTCTGCACGGGTACCAAGGCAAAGTATCCAAGGCTTGGCTCCCAAAAAGCGCAGCACACTGCGACACAACACGAGGACGACGCGGAGGAGGATGAAGGGGAGAGAGAGAGAGAGAGAACACAAAAAACGATGCCAAGATGAGGGTCAATTCGGACGAAGACTAGTCCACGAACTCCTGTACGAACAAGCGCCGCGGCAGCTCTGCGAACACCGTGAGGCCCTCCGTGTACGCGCGGTCGAGGAAGGCCCTGAGCAGGTCCGGCTCCACGACGCAGCGGTGGAGCACCAGAGCGCGCGTGCCCTGCGCCCGCAGGAGGGCGAGGTCCGTCCTGGAAAGGGCCCAGGGAGGCACAAATAGATGAAGCTAAACTTCCAGGATTGGCCAAACAAACTCGATATCTTATGGATATTCCTCTTCCCCTCCACTTCCCCGCACCGTCACATGTTCTCATGTAAATCGAAGGTGTTGTGCTTCTGTGCCTCTTCTTGCCTCCTGCGGTCGGACAACTTTGGATAGCATGTCGCTCCGCCAGTTTCGGCCCACCACGCTGCGGCGCGACACGCTGTCCACGTCCCAGCCTCCCAGCGGCAACGTCCCGAGCCATTCCCATCCCCCCGCCCCGCGGAGCGGAGCGGCACGCCATCCGCTCGCAGGGCCAAGCGCGCCGCCAGGGACGGCGGGGCGACACGCTAAGCAAAAGTTCCCGACCGTACACCCTGCGAAATGCTTAAGAAATCATGGGTTAAGAAATTCATAGTCTCAGAACTTGAGTAAAAACCCAGAATGTCTATTCAAATCTTAGGATTCACATTGAAAAGTTAAGAATAATCGAGACTCTGGCCGAAAACTAAGTTTTCTTAAGCATCGCCTAAGGTGTAAGTCCTGTTCTCGAAGCCGCCCCACCGGGAGGCCAGCCAGAATGTGGCCAGGTCGGCGTCGGTGAGGCTGCGGTTCCCGCAGAGGCCTGGCCCCCCGCGCGCGCGCGGCCCTGACCTCCGATGCCGTGAATTTCCTGCTCACAGCGTGGCTCGTGGGAGGGCCCGACCCCTTTCCTTGGAGCAGGAACCGGCAGTCCCGGCATTCCACAAGGTCAACCGCGAAATGGTCTTAGAACGAGAGAGTGTCCGAATGACAAAAACAATGTTCTTAGACCATGGAGCCGATGTATTTAAAAAAAACATCAGTCTTAGCCAAACATGTTCTAAAAACATGTCGTGCAAACCACGAAAGGTACTCGGAGCATTACTTGGTGGGACTATAGACAAGCCAGGACGCCTCTCCACTGCTTGATTTCCCGGGGCCAGCTTCTATCCCCAGCCAATCTTATGTTCCGACCATCCTGTGGCGTTACGCCCTCGTTGTGAATCCGCAGAGCCACGCCCCACCGTCTCACCTCCACTCCCTCCTCCTCCTCTTCTCCCTTATTTTCCTCCCCTCCTCCCCTTTGCCTCCTCTCCTCCTGGTGTTGCCCCTTGCTCGTCTCTCACCTTGCTCTCTCATCTCGTCTCCTTGTCCGCGGAGGAGTGGTGGTATCGGGGCACCCGGCAACTCCGCAGCTATGCTCTGGACCGGCCCAATTCTCCCTGGATGGACACACCTCAGAAGTCGCCGTCGGTTGCCGGCTCCAGCTCCGTGGCTCCCTTTGCTGCCGAGGCTGGCCCGAGGCCAGCCCGAGGCTTCAACTTGCCAGCCCAGTTGGAAACGATTCTATCCATCCATCCGTCCATCCATCCATCCGTCCATCCATCCTTCTCCTCCGCCTGCTCCCTCCTCCTCCTCCTCCGCCGTCTCGCCCTCCTCCTCTTTCTCCTCCTCCTCCTCGTCCTGCTCCTCCTCCTCTTCCTCCTCCTACTTCTCCACCTCGTCCTCCGTCGCCTCCTCACACTCGTCTTCCGTCTCCACGTCACACTCGTCTTGCCATCATCAGCATCTTCATCATCATGACCACTACCACTACCACCACCACAATCATCACCATCATCATCAGCATCATCACCAGCATCATCATCTTTCTCAAAAACATCATCAATATCATCATCGTAATCATCATCAGTAGGAGCAGCATCATGATCATCATCAACATGAAAAGCACCATAAGCATCATCAACAACATTATCGCATTTCGCATCAGTAACAACGTCACCATCACCAGCAACCGCATTACCATCAAACGCATCATGAACATCATCATCATCATCATCATCATCATCAGCATCATCATCATCATCATTATCATCATCATTATCATCATCATCATCATCATCATCATAAGCATAAGCATCATGACTATCATCAGCAACAACATCAACGTCGTCATTAGCATCAGCAGTCTATTCAGCATCGACAACATCACCATCAACACCATACGAAACATCATCAACATCATCACCACCACCATCATCATCGCCAACGCCATCACGATTACCGTCATCATCACCATCATCACCATCATCATAAGCATCATCAACATATTCATGCTCACCAACATAATCATCAACAGCATGATCGTAGTGTTCGTCATCACCGTCATCATCATCATCAGCGTCGTCGTTGCCATCACCACCACCATCATCATGATTCTCGTCGTCATCATCTCCATGACTATCACCAACACCAACACCATCACCACCATGATCGTCATCATTATCGTCAACATCAACACCTTCATCACAATCACCATCACCAACACCATAATCATCACTTTCGTCACCATCATCATCAACAAGAATAATCACAGCAACAGTACCATCATCAGCAGCAGCATCATCATTAGCAGCGACAGCGTCACCGGCGCCGTCGTCACCATGCGTGCCAGCGAGCCCCTCACACGCTTCGGGGCCCTACAGAGAGCTTCACCTACGGCCCAATGGGGGCGCCCGTATATGGCGTCACCGCCCGCCTGTTCCGCACACCTCTCACACGAGTCGTGGCCCCCTCCACCGACGGGCCCAGTGCGGGCGCCCGCATATTGCGTGACCGCTTCGTGGCTCAATAGGGACCTCCACCGAGGGCCCCAGTTGGTGCGTTCGCATGGCGTCGCCCTGCCCACTTCAGAACACCGCTTGCACACCTAGATGCGTCCGCGTGGCGTCGCCCCGCTCTCTCGGGACTCCCCTCACGCGCTTCGCAGACCCGTGGAGAGCTCCACGGAAGGCCCCCCATGGGTGCGTCCGCATGGCCTCGCCCCGCCTCTTTTGGCGCACCCCTTACCTAACTCAGCGGCCGTGTTTGCGTGGCGTCCCCGCGCCCACTCAAGTCGGGCATGTCCCTCTAAAGGAAGAATATTCAAGGATAGTCAACTTTCATTCCAGAAGTATGGTTTGCCAACGTTTTATTTCTGGACTGGCCCTCACACGACTCGTGGCCCCCGGGAAGCTTCACTCACGGCCTCCATGGGTGCGACTGCACGGCACCTCCGCGTAACTTCGTCGCACCCCTCACACACTCGATGGACCCCATCCACGCTGCCCACGGTTCCATCCCTCTCGCGGCGAGTTGCCTATGAGGAGAGGGTCGTGTCCTGCTTTGCTCGCGCTGAACACGGTTGGGTCCTTCGTAAAACTAAGTTGGCGTCGCTGGGGCCTGACAGAGAGCCATCCCCCTCAAGAAAAATACAATTTGTCGTGATCTTGCCACCGCGCGGCTTTCGAGTCGATTTGGGTACCCCCCTGAGCGCTCCCGGCGAGGCGCAGCTGCTGGAAGGCATCCTGAGGCAGGAAAACCAAAGAAAACCTCGGGGAACCGACGAACGCATCCGAAAACTCAGGGCGCCTGTGGGGAAACCGACAGGTACCGACACCGCTACTGACCCGGATCTCTTTTGGGGTGCGTTCTGACCAGGACTCCCAAGCGAACCCAGCCGTGGCGACGAGGGAGGGCCTCCCCGGAGGCCGAAGAAAGGAAAATCGGGGGAAGCGCAGTGGTATGGGTACCTCTTCCTCCTCTGCCCCCGTTTGCATTGACTCCCGTCTCTTGAGCCCGACTCTGAGCCTAGCATCCGGTCCACCGGCGCCACCCAGAGCCTGGTGCGCCAGGTCGCGGGGAAGAGCCATGGCGTCGCGCCCGGCGCCGCCTGCGGCGCGCCCCGCTGCCAGAGGGCGGCGAAGGCCGCGCCGAGAAAGCGCAGCGTGGGCGGCGGCGGCGGCATCGCGGGGGCCGCCGCGCTCGGGCCGGCTGCCCCGGGGGCAGCGCCGCACTCGGGCTGCGGCGGCGGTCGGAGGGCGCCGTCTGTCGCCGTTGCCGTCTCCGTCGCCGTTGCCGTCTCCGTCGCCGTTGCCGTCGCCGTCGTCTTCATCGTCGTCGCCGCTGGCGCCGCCGCCACCGTGGTCGTCGTCGTCGTGGTCGTCATCGTCGTCGGCGGCGGAGTCGTCGTGGTCGTGGTCGTGGTCGTGGTCGTGGTCGTCCTCGTCGTCGTCATTCGACGTTCGACGCCGTCGTCGACGTTCGACGTCGACGTCGTGGTCGTCGCGCTCGTCTCGGAGGGCGCCGTCCGTCGCCGGCGTCGTCCTGGTCGTGGTCGTCGCTAGGCTGGCGGGGCCAGCCAAGGAGGCTGCGCGCAGGCCCTGAGATCCACGCGATGCCGCAAATAGACTGACGGCCGGTTTTTGGGCATAGCTCGGTGGGGAACATAGTTTTCGCAAGCGTGGACCCCAAACAGTGACTTGATGCACTGTGGAGGTGGGGGCTATGCGGATTAAGCTGTAGCTATGTGGGGTTAGCTAGTGGTGTAAGTTATGTCGTGCTAGCCTATATGGTGTGAGCTGTTGTAGGACCTATGTGGTGTGATAATGATATGATGTGAACTATGTGGTGACCATGAGTGCGGCCAGCTGTAGGACATGATTATGGAGGAGAGCAGCAATATCCAAACCGCTATATACCTGGAGTCGTTTTCGCCGTTGAGGAACTCGTGGGTGCCTTTCGTCGCCACGGCTGGATTCGCCCCGAAGTCTCCAAAATTTTCCAGTTCCTTCATATTCGGGTATCGGTCGTAACCGATTTGCTTCAAAATCGGTTGCTACCGATCGGTCGCGACCGATCGTTCGCCATCGGTCGCGCCGCGGTCGCAGCCGATTTTGGAATCGGTCGCGATCGGTCGCGACCAGTCTGGAGCGCCGATCGGTCGCTAGCGATCGCGACCGAACAACATCCGGTGTCCGATGATCTGGGATCCTCTGACCTTCCTCCTCGTCCTGCTCCCCGTCCTCGTCGTCATCCTCCTCCTCGTGCTCCTCGTCCTCCTCCTCCTCCTCGTCCGTGCCCGCGGCCCTGGGGTTCCCGACTGCCTCAAGCAGAAGAGAGAGTAGTGGCTACCAAGCCACCAGGCCTGGTTCAAGTGCCATTGCGCCAGAGTAGGTCGGATTGAACCCGGGATCCAAACAGATTCAGCTGGATCAGGCGGAAGAGCGGGACTGTGCCAGATTATGCCCGTTTCCGAGAACGGATCTGCCAGCGCCGATGTTGAATGTAGCCTTCGGGGATCTGCATCCTAAGAAGCCCACGCAGACCAAGATGACACGCCCTGTGGGGACTTGATCTTGTCTGATGGTGCCGTAATGGAAACCGCGAGTTCTTTCCTCAGCTGGTATCGCAAAATTGGGCAGCCGAAATCCATGTCGGGAGCGTCAAAAGGCGACGGTAAAATCGGTTTCTCGGCTCGAGTCTCACCTACCCCAAAACCATGACAAGACATTCGATCCGAATCTGAAAATTAGTCATATCAAAAGAAGCTTAATGAAAGATGATATCACGGTGGAGCCAGAACTGCGCACCTTGTGAGGGACGCCCGAAGTGAGCAGCGTTATCCGACCACGACGGCGGCAAATGATCCCGAGTCGTTGATCCTTGTTTCTAGAACCGCACCTTCGCACACATCCACATACACCGTCTGAATGCAGAAACTAAACGGGGATACCGATTCGCTCGTTGGACCACCTACAACCTAGAATGAGGCCCACCGGGCGGGGTAACTGGCGGCAAGGAACATCGCGGCGCTGTCTTACAGCCTCGGGCAGGTGGGCCTCAATATCACAAGCACTAATAACATGTCTGATAGAAACGCAAACCAGAACAACGATTTGCAGTGCCGAAAAGTCAACCGTGAAACTGCTTGCTGGTCGCCCCAAAGCACGTGATCAGAGATAGGAGAAACAAGCGTTCATGACTGAAAATACGTTTTCGGATGCGCGCTGTGACACGAAACACTGAATCGATTGACAAATGCGGAACACATTTTGAAGGAGGGTTCAACGTGCATTGGTGCATACACTGCCGTGGCGGACGTTTGTGCGTTTCGATGTAGAAATGACATAGCCAATGGCTCTGAAGATTCCGAACATGGGCGAATGGCCCCTGCGGCCCCGCGGAATCATTCAAATCCCATTGCGTTAGTCGCTGTCCTGCTTCAAGGCAGGACCGCGAACTACTCCGCCAAATCTCTTAGGTAAAACGCGGCAGGGGGCGTGTCCGCGCGGGGAAGTTTCTACCATGCCCTCTCAGCCCTCTCAGCCTACTCCGCCAGTCGTCCGTCATCTTACACGCAAAGCGAGTAGTAGATATGTCACGGCGACGGGGGAACATGCATCCCATCTCGACTCGCACGGGCCCATCCAGCCCAAAGCTCTGGCGATGCGTCCAGTGCGACGAGCCAAAGCGACAGAAATGACGACGATGACGAGGGTGCGTCGCCGCCCCGGGTGGATCCCTCACGGTATTTCAAGCACCGCGCGGCGAGCATCGAGGACTTTCCAATCCAGCGTGACAGGCAAAGTCTTGTATATCCAGCGCGCGCATGGCCCGACAGTTGTCTACACGCGCGCTCTTGCGAAATCTTGTGGGCACCAATGGATTTTCAGGATTTTCAAGACATGCTACCGAACGGGCGTCGCGCGCGCAGGTCGAAATCGTTCGAACGCCCTTGCGTGCGTGCCGTCGCGAGAACCCTCTGCAAAAAACTGTGACGAAGTGCGCGCGCGCGCGTCGTCGCGCGCGCATGCCTAAATCCTGCAAAAAACCAGAATGGTTTCGGAAGGATTCCAAAATCAAGTGTCCAAGCAACATACAAGAACGAATGGTTTCGCAACAAGGACTTTCACCAAAAGCGTGCGCGCGCGCTCTTGAGTCGTCGTCGCCGTCGTCGCCGTCCTCCCTCCTCCCTCGTCGTCGTCGTCACCGTCGTCGTCCTCTGTCTTTCCTTGTCGTCGTCGTCGTACTCTTTGGCGTCGTCGTCGTTTCCGTCGTCGTTGCTGCCGTGGTCTTCATTCCTCCTCCCTCGTCGTCGTCGTCGTCGTCCGTCGTCAGCGCCTCGTCGTCGTCCCTCCTATTGCGTCGCCGACGTCGTCGTCGTCGTCGTCGTCGTCGTCGTCGTCGTCTTCCCTCCTCCCTCGTCGTTGTCGTCGTCGGCGTCGCCGTCCTCCCTCCTTCTTCGTCGTTCAGGTCGTCGCCGTCCTCCCTCCTCCCTCGTCGTTGTCGACATTGTCCCCGTCGTCGTCCTCCCTCCTCCCTCGTCGTCGGCGTCATCTTCGTTGGCGACGTCGTCGTCGTCGTCGTCGTCTTCGTCGTCGTCGGCGTCGTCGCCGTCGTCAGCGTCGTCGGCGTCGGCGTCGTCGGCGTCGTCGTCGTCGGCGTCGTCATCGTCGTCGTCGTCGGCGTCGGCGTCATCGTCGTCGTCGTCGGTGTCGCCGTCGTCGACGTCGTCGTCGTCGTTGTCGTCGTCGTCGTCGAAGTCGTCGGAGGCGTCGTCGGTGTCGTCGTACTCGTCGTCTGAGTCGTCGTCGTCGTTGTCGCTGTCGTCGTCGGCGTCGCTGTCGTTGCCAAGTGCCATTTGGCACCCACCGTCACGGTCCTAAGAAGTCTTGCGACCAAGTTGCGGGTGGGAGGGTGGGATGTTTGCACGAGCAGTGAAGAGGACAGCTTCAAGACAGTCAAAGTGAATTCTCCTTTATAGAAACAAAATAGGATCTACCCCCCCCCGGCGTTATCAATCCCCCTCTCGGGTATGTAAATCATATATGATTCTGACCACATGTCCATCCTAAAGAAGAATTTGCAGTATCCCAGGGGGGCCGGTATCCCCCCCCTGAGGTTCCCTTGTAAAGAACACTATGGGTGACATTTTTTTCTAACATAACACTTTGTCGCGAATCCCTTGCAAAAAAACTGTGACGAAGTGCACACGCGCGCGTCGTCGCGCGCGCATGCCAAAATCCTTCAAAAACCTTCGGTGCCAGAAGGATTTCGCAATCGAGTTTCCAAAAAACATACGAAAACACAGGGTTTCGCAACACTGATTTGCTAAAAAAGCTTCCGCGCGAACTCTTGCGAAATCTTAAGAAAACCCTGGCATCATCAAGAGTTTCACAAAATGCTATTAAACGGGCTTCGCGCGCGCGCATGTCGAAACCTGTCGAACGCCCTTGCGCGTGTGCCGTCGCGAGAACCCTCTGCAAAAAAATAGGCCAAGGGCAGACGCGCGCGTCGTCGCGCGCGTAGGCCGAAAACCTTCAAAACCCATAGACCTCGGAAGGATATCAAAATCGTGTCTCCAAAAAACCTACGAAAACCAAAGGTTTCGCAACACGGATTTTCAACAAAAGCGTGCGCGCGCGCTCTTGCGTCGTCGTCGTCGTCGTCGTCCTCCCTTCTCCCGCGTCGTCGTCGTCGCCGTCGTCGCCTACGTCGTCCTCTGTCTTTCCTCGTGTTCGTCGTCGTCGTCCTCTTTGGCGTCGTGGTCGTTTCCGTCGTCGTTGTCGCCGTGGTCGTCCTTCCTTCTCCTCCCTCATCGTCGTCGTCGTCGTCGTCCGTCGTCGGCGTCTCGCCGTCGTCCCTCCTATTTCGTCGCCGTCGTCGTCGTCGTCGTCGTCGTCGTCGTCTTCCCTCCTCCGTCGTCGTTGTCGTCGTCGGCGTCGCCGTTTTTCCTCCTTCTTCGTCGTTTGCGTCGTCGCCGTCCTCCCTCCTCCCTCGTCGTTGTCGTCGTTGTCGTCGTTGACGTCGTCGTCGTCGTCCTCCCTCCTCCCTCCTCGTCGTCTTCGTTGGCGACGTCGTCGTCGTCTTCGTCGTCGTCGTCGGCGTCGGCGTCGTCGTCGTCGTCGTCGGCGTCGTCGTTGTCGCCGCCGTCGTCGTCGTCGTCGTCGGCGTCGTTGACGTCGTCGTCGTCGGTGTCGTCGTTGTCGTCGTCGTCGTCGTTGTCGTCGTCGTTGTCATCGTCGTCGTCGTCGGCGTCGTCGTCGTCGTCGGTGTCGTCGTCGTCGTCGGCGTCGTCGAAGTCGTTGGAGACGTCGTCGGTGTCGTCGTAGTCATTGTCGGCGGCGTCGTCGTTGTCGCTGTCGTCGTCGGCGTCGCTGTCGCTGCCAAGTGCCATTTGGTACCCACTGTCACGGTCTTAAGAGATTTTGCAAGCCAAGTTGCGGGTGGGCGGGTAGGATGTTTGCGCGAGCAGTGCAGTGGACAACTCACTGCGAACAGAAATTAATTGCACCACATAGACTGCACGTCATATATTGCACGACGTATACATATTACACATCGTTCATTGCATAATAAAGACTGCACAACAAAGTCTGCCACACACACATAGTTCGCCATATCTTGATATTGTTCCACATACATTATGCTACATGTGTTGCGCCACATGGAGTGATACAACCAGAGAGGTTACCAAAAATGCACTGTATGGGGCCCACGCTGGCTTACATATGTATATATATATACATATATATAGATATCCATACACAAACAATACTATGGCGCAATCCGTGGCGCAACCCATGGCGAATCCTAGGGCGAAGCCCATCGCGTAACCTATGGTGCAACCTTTGCCTCGTTGGCACGGTGCTGCATACGAGGCTCATATGACTTCTGAGACGGACCTACGCCTGATGTATACTGGCCGCTTGGGCTGGAGGCGGGCCACGTGGGCGAGCTGTCTTACGGTTGTACGTCGGCGTGGCCACATCGGCGACATAGCACGTGCGCCTGACTCCTGGTACTTGGAAGGTTCGTACCGCAGCCAATACAGACCAAGGAGGGCGCGCCGTGGCCATGTCAACGCCCGGGCGAGGCCCAGGGACATCCGGAAGAGAGGGAGGGCGCGAGAGCCGCAAGCACGTGCACACGAGGCGAAATGCCCACCGGAGGCGCGGCACCGGGAGATGCGCCCAGCAGCCCTGCCGCCGACAAGTTGGGGCTGCCGGGCGCTACTGCCGACCGCCAGGCCAACCGAGCCTCACGATGATGTATCGGCGGCGAGCGAGGGGGGGAAGTGGGAAGGAGAAGGCCTTCTCAGCAGGCGGCGGGACTTCTGAGAAGCCCCCGCGCCTCCTGAGAAGTCGTCTGCGTCTTCGGGGAAGGCTGCGCAAACTTCTCAGCAGGCCGGGGCACTTCCGAGCCTTCTGAGAAGGCCCGCCCCTCTTCACCTTCCCCCCCCCCCCCCCGGCACGCAGCCGGATGTAGCCTTTTGGGTGGTGGGGCGGTGGCGCCATGGCAGACTAACTGCTGCGAGCAGTCTGAGGCCTCGCCCCCGCCCCGAGGCGCGTCGCCCGTCGGCCGGGCTCCGCCGCAGCGCACGGCCGCACGGCGCCCCCCCGGCGGGCCTCACCAGTCGGTCACCTTCAGGCGCGCGAGCGCGTCCGAGGCGGCCTTCAGCTCCTTTGCGACGCGCACCCGCCTGAAGATCACCTGGCAGTTCAGGTTGTCGCACCTCTCGCGCCCGTCCGGCTCCGCGGGCCGCTCCTCCCGCGGCGGGTCCGGGGGCAGCCCGAGGAAGCTGCCGGGCGGCACGGCGCAGCGCTGCTCGCAGTGCGCCCGCAGGTCCCCGAGGTCCTTGCGCAGCCCCCTGGCGCGCTCGGTCGCCTCCTCGCGCACCTGCTGGGCGCGCACGGGGCCCTTCTTGGAGCAGAGGTCGCAGAAGCTCTGCCCGTCCGGGGTCGTGGCCGCCCCGCAGTCGAGGCACTTCAGCCGCGGCTTCATGAACTTGCCCATGCCCCCCAGGGTGGAGATCCCCGCGCTCGCGACGACCTTCCTTTCCGCGGGCGCCGCTCCGAAGAGCTCCTGCTCCGCCTTCTGCGCGCTCCCGAGCACGAGCTCGAAGACCCGGATCAGCGGCTGCTTCAGCTGCTTCTCCAGGTAGTACTCGGCATCGATCGGCAGCTCGTGCTCCAGCGCGTACAAGGGATCCTCTGCTCTCTCGTTCACGTTGCTCTTGGCCGCACCCCCGAGGACGAGGTAAGGCACCCGGTCGCCTATGGATGGAGCGCTGGCTGGGTCTCTCTTCCGCAGCTTCTCCGCCACCGTCACGTGCGGCAGCTTCGCGGCATACTCGTCGCGTCCCAAGGACTTGGAGATGATGAGGGCTCTGAAGTCCACCTTGTTCTGCCGCACCTCGTCGCACAAATTGCGCACGTACGATATCGCGCTCGCCACGCCGTCCTGGCCGTCGGGCCTGAGCAGCAGGTGCAGGGTCCGCTCCAGCCCCTGTCGCACGAGATCGGACCAGTCCCGCCGCACCGTCTCGATGCCCTTCGTGTCGAGCTTCGGGGCGGAGTCCGGGGAGGCGAACGCGAGACCCGCGTACCGCTTCTTGGCCATGAGAAGGTACGGCCTGTAGACTTTCTCGAATTCCAAGCGTGCCGGGGACGGAAACTCCGCGGAGCAGACCTCCGCGGCCTTCGCGCTCAAGTCCATCGCATCCTGCAGGGAGAGCTCTTCAGGCCCGAAACGCACCATGACGGAGTCTGTATCCCCGTACACAACCTGGGCGTCGTAGCGGAACCCATTCGCCTGCACGAAGTGGGACTCAACCTTGCGCTTCGTGCTCTGAATCATCTCCCGCCCGTACGCAGTCACCGCTCCAGCCAGCTCGAGGCATGGCAGTGGCCCGTTCATCGCCCCGGTGAACCCGTAGACCGAATTGGCGGAGAGCTTCAGCGCGAGCTGGCGACCGTTGAGGACCTTGCGCTTGGGCTCCGCTTGGAGGCGCCCAGGGGGTCTGAACTGGTTGGGACCTCAGAAAATCCGTTAGGAGGGGGTGGGGCAAGGCGAGATCCACTCAAAATCGGTCCCAGGACCCCTCCAGGGGTCCATCTGGAGTAGCTTTTTTACGACCAAGGCCAGAAACCGATCCCGAACCCAGAACATCGAGCCTGCCCGCCCTTTTCCTGCTGGCCGGAAGCAGTGCTGCGCCACCTCAGACCACCAGACGGCTCCAACAGGGCGGCGCGGATTCCTTGGGTCTGCCCTGGGCACCCCTCCCTGGCGCGCTCCGCGCGCCACGGGCGGCGCCGGAGGCGCCGCCAGGGGGGACCATTGCCGATCCCACGAAAGCCGCGCGGAGCTCCGCCAGCTTATGTTTATGCAATGTTTTAAGTGGCCCCCAAGATGGGGTCGGAGTAGATAGTGTCGGAGGATCGCGCCGCACATCGCTGATACATCGGCGATGTATCGGCGATGCATCGCCGAGGCACCGGCGATGTATCGTCGATGTGGGCCATGCATCGGCGACGTCGACGTGAAGCAAATCGGGCTCGACATCGAGCCGCATCGGCGATGCATCAGCGATGCCGCGCGATCCTCCGACCCCATCCACTCGGACCCCATCTAGGAGGCCCAAAACTTCGCACCCTCGTGTTGGCCCTGGGTTCACTCTCCCGCCTCCCGAGGTTCCCCGGGCGCCCAGACGCCTCTCTTGGCGCACTCCGGGGCTTTCCCGGGGTGCCCACAACGAGGCCTCCACGACGGCCCAGGCAGGCCCGCATCTATCTACTCGGACCCCATCTGGGAGGCCTCGAGTTTTGCTCTTCGAGCCTTGCGCTTCGTCTCCGCGTCGATGGAGGCGCCAGCGACCGAGGCCAGCGCCTTCTTCGCCTGCTTCCGGGCCGCCAGGAGCCGCTCCAGGATCGAGGGCAGCAGCCCCCTCCGCACCGCGGGTCGCACGAAGCAGCTGCGCGTGTCGGTCTCCTTCGCCACCGCGGTCTCGGGGGACCTTAGGCTGCCCCGACACCGTGGGAGCTCGACCACAACAAGCCTTCCACAAGAAACCTCTTCCTCCTCCTCCTCCTCCTCCTCCTCCTCCTCCTCCTCCACCTCCTCCTCTGAAGCCCAACCCCGAGACCCCAGGACGTCCCGTGAGTTGTGGTGTGGAAGCGTCACGGTTCTTCCCACAGCAAAGCCCTCGAGGCCAAAGAAGCCCAGGGCACCCTGGAAGCAAGCAGGGTGCTTCTTGGCATGGGCTTCCACTGCACGCCCACTCTTAAACGCAGCATCAGAAACTGAAGCATTTATATGTGTGTATATTCCTCTTCCTATATTTTTACAAGCCCGGGGGGGGGGGGGGCAAACCCTCACCCACCCACCCCCAAAACTGGACCCCCGGGATCTGGGGTTCTCGGGCTCCCTTGGACGTCCTCGGAAAAGGTCACCCGGCTTTGCGGGTCTCCACAAACGCCTTGCCAGCAGACCCAGAGTGATCCGAGCGGTCATCAGAAAGGCTCAAGGGAGGCCCCAGACAGCACAAGAGCGCTCCAAGAGGGACTCCAATTGCGTCAGGACGGCCCAAAAGACCCCCAAGGCACCCCAAAAAAGCTTTCCAAGGGGCCTTCAAAGCACAAACATCGTCCCGTTCCCTTCGTAAATCTTCCAATTTTAGCATATTCGCCTGTCGGATTTCATCAGCTTTCAAGACGGTTTCAAAGCCCCCGAGATCGCCTCCAGACGCTCCAAAAGGCCCCCAAGAAAGCTTCAAGACAGCCGAGCCGGGCCCCACGATCGCCCACGAGAGCCCCAAGACAGCCCATAATGGAACCAAGAGGCCCCCCAAGGGCTCCCAGCACAGACCCAGAAGGGCCATGGGAGGTCCCCGGAAGTGCCCAGGATGTGTCCAAAGGGGGCTCCAGCGGGCCCAAGCTCCCCAAGACGGCCCAAGAAGGCCCCAGGGCGGCCCATGAAGGCGCCAAGACGGCCCACGGGGGCCCCGAAAACACCCCCACAACGTTTCCGAATGCCAACATAAAGACCCCCAAGGCACCCCAAAAAGCTTTCCAAGGGGCCTTCAAAGCACAAACATCGTCCCATTCCTTCGTGGAACTTCCAATTTTAGCATATTCGCCTGTCGGATTTCATCAGCTTTCAAAACGGTTTCAAAGCCCGCGAGATCGCCTCGAGACGCCCCAAAAGGCCCCCTAGAAAGCTTCAAGACGGCCGGGCCGGGCCCCACGATCGCCCACGAGAGCCCCAAGACAGTCCATAATGGAACCAAGAGGCCCCCCAAGGGCTCCCAGAACAGACCCAAAAGGGCCATGGGAGGTCCCCGGAAGTGCCCAAGATGGGTCCAAAGGGAGCTCCAGCGGGCCCAAGCTCCCCAAGACGGCCCAAGAATGCCCCAGGACGGCCCATGAAGGCGCCAAAACGGCCCACGAGGGAAAACACCCCCACGATGTTTCCGAATGCCAACATTAAGACCCCCAAGGTACCCCAAAAAGCTTTCCAAGGGGTTTTCAAACCACAAAAATCGCCCCGTTCCCTTCGTAAAACTTATAATTTTAGCATATTCGCCCAGCTTTCAAGACGGTTTCAAAGCCCGCGAGATCGCCTCGAGACGCCCCAAAAGGCCCCCTAGAAAGCTTCAAGACGGCCGGGCCGGGCCCCACGATCGCCCAAGAGAGCCCCAAGACAGCCCATAATGGAACCAAGAGGCCCCCCAAGGGCTCCCAGCACAGACCCAAAAGGGTCATGGGAGGTCCCCGGAAGTGCCCAAGATGGGTCCGAAGGGGGCTCCAGTGGGCCCAAGCTCCCCAAGACGGCCCAAGAAGGCCCCAGGACGGCCCATGAAGGCGCCAAAACGGCCCACGAGGGCCCCGAAAACACCCCCACGATGTTTCCGAATGCCAACATTCATTGATTTTGCTCTCATGACATTTCACATTGTGACCCAGTCGTTGAGGGTCTCGTGGCATGCAGCGAAGATGCCCAAGGATGCCCCGTGCGAGTTGCATATGCATGTTCATACCCTTACACACATACATGTGTATTTACATATGTACGCTGTATACACACATCCAACAATGTAAGTATATTGTATACACCTAGACATGTATACGGAACGTGCATGCACGTGCGCGTGTATACATGCATGCGCGCATGTACGCACGCACGCATTCTGCTTGCGTGCAGAACTCAAAGGACCAAGGTGCATGGCGCGCAGCGCCAATGCAGTCTGGTATATATATATATATATATATATATATATATACATAAACATATTGCCAATGGGGGGTCGATCTTCCATCCCTGGACTTTTTAAAGGTCGTGGACGACATCGGGGTGGTGTGGTGTGCATTTGTTTTATCCGATTCCCGGGGAAACAACGAAAACGTATACACCAGGGTCCCGTATACACCAACATCAGTCTTCCTATGCAAATGTCATACAGTGCCAGAACGAAAAGCGTCGGCATATCGAGTTCAATTCCCAACAACATGCACCGTGTTCAAAACGTCCGTGTGAACACGCTGCGCGTAAGCTCAATGTGTTGGCCCGCCCTTCTAAGACGTCGCGCCAAATCTGCGACGTCCTGAATATACGTGTTGAACTCCGTGCCAACGCGCTTCGGGTTGTGTGTTGCGCATCGGGGCAGCTAGGCCATAGACACCTCGTGCTCGGGGGCCCCGGGTCGGTTCTCCGCGCCTGTGGGGGAACACATAGCGGCGTAAGCATAAACTTTCGGCGCTCCGCCTGATTGCTTGTATCGGCGCGGGGATCCCCCTGGCGGCGCTTCCGACGCCGCCCCTGGCCCGCTCCGCCAAGAAATCCGCGCGGAGCGCCGACAGTTTATGTTTGTGCCGCTTTCTCTTCTTCAAGCGCCTGGCGGCAACAGGGTGGAGTAGCAGAGGTTGTGCGCAATCATAATCGACGGGTAGAGGGACGCAAAGTCGAGGACGGCGATCGGGGCGCGATAGCAGAAGAAGATACATCTGCACAAACATGAAAAACCTGAGCTCCGCGCGGGTTTCTTGGATCGGCACTGGACCCCACCCGCCCTGGCGCGTAGAGCGCGCCAGGGGCGGAGACGCCGCAGGGGGGTCCCAACGCCGACATCAGAAATCCGCGCGGAGCGCTGACAGTTTTTCTGTTTATGCAGGTTTTCCTCCTTCGAGCTAGAAGCCCACCGAGGGGTCCAGCACGGTGGCGCCTTCAAAGGTGCTCTCCTATAGAATACTCCCAAATCGGGTCAGAGTGGATGGGGTCGGAGGATCGCGTCGCATCGCCGATGCGTCGCTCATGCATCGGCGACGTCGGCGATGCATCGGCGCCCTCGGCGTGGAGAACATCGGAAAATCGGGATCCACATCGAGCCGCATCGCAGATGTATCCAGCAGAACACGGCGCGATGCCGGCCCCATCTACTCCAACCCCATTAGTTAGTCATGGCTCTGGTCTTGCAGGCGGGCTACTGTGAAAGTTCACGTGTATTCCTGCAACCGAAACACCTCCAAACAGCGAGCGCAAAGCGCAGTGAATTTCACGTCGATGTTTGAAGTCTCATTTCCCGCCTACAAGACAACGCTCAACATCCAGAACAAAACACGGCATGACATTTACAAGACAATCCGAGGCTTTGTTGTTGCGATTGAAGCCCGCTCGGCGAAGTATGCGCCATGACATTTGAACGACCACTGAAAAACGGGTCTTACACAAAATGACACAACGAACGGCTTACGCGGGCCGCCAGCGCGGCACGCCGCATCGGAAACGAGGGCGCTCAAGCGCGACCTTACGTGGGCAGCTTACGCTCCAATGTCAAGACTCCGAAGAGTGTGGTGTGCAAAGGGTGTGGTTTGCAACCGGCACCCTGGGGGACACCCTCGGGGGCGGACTGGGACCTTCATAGAGTTCCCCGCCCCGCCCCGAGGAGGCCCGACGAGGACGGTGTCGTGCCCCGCAGGCCCCAGCGGCACCCCGGCGTGTCCGCACCTTTTGCAGTTTTCTTCTGGCGCTCGTTTGGGAGGCCCAGCTCTCCTCGCCGTTGCCCGGCCGCTGCGAAGGCAGCACGAAGCCCCTCGCCCGGGCCTCCCGCAGCAGCTGCGCCTGCACCTTCACGGCCTGCCCACGCTCCAGCAGGTAGTCCTCTGGGGGGGCAGCGTTGCCAGGCTGACTCGACCCTTTCAGGCTGTCCGCCGGTGCGATGCTATTGCTACGCGATGGCCACATGAGGGGTGACCGGCTCGGGGCGGGGCTCCCGCTGTGAGGGGCCACGATGATCTCGGGCGAGGTTCGAGGTCCGAAGTTTCCGAACGGTTTCGTCGGCCCTCGGCGGTCTCCCAGCCTCGAGGTTCCAGCGGCTGCGCCTCGCCGAGCGCGCCCTGGGGATTCCCAGGTCGTCCCCAACGGCCGCTGGAGGCCCAGGTCCTGACACCCGAGAGCCCAGCATCCAGCAGAACTCGGCGGTGCAGGACCGAAGAGTCTGACTACCTACCAGACCACCCCAACCAAACCCGAAGACCCGAATTTGACCCGAATTTCGGGTTGGGGGGGGGAACGGATACCATGTGTTTTTTCAACGTTCCCCGACCCCCCCCCCACTGGAAATCGAGGGTAAATTTGGGCCTTCGGGTTGGGTTGGGGTGGTCTGGTGGGTGGTGAGAGTCGGCGACGGGCCCCCGATGGCGGAGCCGCACGCTCCGGGGCGGGGCGGGCCGTCGGGCTCTCTCTTTCGGCAGTGCAGGGGCGACCGGGGCTCGACGAGTTTTCCTCCCCTGAGCCTGTCCCACCCCCAGGCGTTGCCCATTGGCTTTCGGAGCATGGCTCTCCTCCCCGGCGGCCGTTTGGGGCGAGTCCAGCTCCCCTGGAAGGCCCTCGGCGAGGCGGAGCTGATGGGAACCACCCCGGCCTGAAGAACTTTACCGACACTTTCGGGGTCGATGCGCCCCCCGCCTGAGCCTATTCCCCTTCCCCCCCATCACGTTGCCCCCGAGGTCCAGGGGGCAGCCGGTGACCCTGGCCATCTCGACAAAGTTGTACAAGTAGGCCAGGTGGTCGAAGATCCCGAGCGAGGCCTCGTGGCGGCGCGCACAGAGCTAGGTGGGGCGCGGGGGGCGGGTGGCCTCTTGCAGCCATCGTGCTGTAATGGAGAGCGGCACGTACTTGTGAGGAGCAAGGGGGCCTTCCTTGCCCACTGCAAGCCTCGGCCCACGACCTGGACCTGCGGAACGGCCCTTGAAAGCAAGAGCCCCTCGTGGGCCCAAAGCGGTTCATAGTTCAGCGTCTTGACTGCAAACAGGCCATGCGCTTCTCAGCAGCCCTCCAGCTTTCTGAGAGGGGCGGGGAGCTTCTCGGCAGCATCCGAGCCCTTCTGAAAAGTGCGCTCCCTTCCTGCCCTAAGTGGTTCAGGAACGGGTGTTTAAACTCCGCCGCAATGGCGGAGCCCACTTCGCACGGATGGTTAACTCCCCTAAACCACTGAGGGCATCTGTAACCCATTGATGCGCTAGGCCTGGCCAGATTTAACTCACCCTAGCAGCCAGAGTTCTAACGCCCCTATCCCCTTAGCATAGGGCGACGAAATATGTAGATCTCCACCGCTCCCTGGCCAGGCACATCCTGAAGCCAGCAGCGGTCCATACGCCACGCCCTCCTGGCTTGGCCAGCCTGGGCTCAGGGAGGGCCCAGACAGGGGGCAGCGGATATGTACAGATATCTTCTCCCGATAGCACGTCCCGCGGTCATCTCAGCACGACCCCGCCGCCGCGTGGCTTTCGGGTCATAGCTCGGCTCTCCCGCGGCCGTTCGGGAGGATCCGGGTGCTCCCGGAACGCCCTCGACGAGGCGCAGGTGATGGAAACAACCCCGGGCTTCGAGCCTTCCGAAAGCCGACGACGACGACGGCGACGACGACGATGACGACGAAGACGACGACGACGACGACGACGACGACGACGAAGGCGACGACGACGACGACGACTACGACGACGGCCACGGCGACGGCGACGGCGACGACGACGGCGACGACGGCGACGGAGACGACGACGCCGACGCGGCATCCCCCCCGCTGTGCGCCCCGCCCCGCCGCGCGCGCCGCCCACAGGCCTCGGCCTGGCGCAGGGCGTGCTGCGCGAGGGCCCCGGGCCGCGCCGCGGCGAGGCGCGCGAGCACGGCCTCGCGCAGCTCGGGCAAGGGCGCCCCGCAGAAGTGCTCGGACAGGGCGCCCAGGGAGTAGTCCGTCAGGCGGTGCTCCTTCTCCACCTGCTTCTCCTGGGGAGATGGCCGGCGGCGAGCGAGGGGGGGAGGAGCGGGCAGAAGAGAAGGCCTGCTCGGAGGGCGGCGGGGCTTCTCAGACGCCCTCGGGCCTTCCGAGAAGAGGCCAGAGGACTTCCGAGCCTTCTGAGAAGGCCCGCCCCTTCTCACTTCGCCCCGGGGCTCGCCGCCGATCCAGGGCGGCAAAATCTACAGATATGGTCCACAGCCCCCTGGCCGGGCCCATCCTGAACACAGCAGCGGTGCATACGCCACGCGCTCCTGGTAGGGCCCGGATCGCGCACACACGGCTCCTGGGCCCAGGAAGAGCGCCCGGGGAGCAGTGCGTCGGGCGGTGCTCCTGCTCCACCTGCCCCTCCTGGTTGGATGGCCTTGCCGAGGGGCCAGGGGGTTCAGCAGCGGAAGCTGGTGTCTGGCCCAACCTGGCCCCGAAGCAGGGGGAGGATGCCCGAGGTGGTTCTGGGGGAGGGGGGGGGGGGGGGGGCAAAACGGCACAATCGTACACTCTGGAAGGTCCGCGGGGACCTCTTAGATCGGGGCTGGGCCCCCCCTCCCTGGCGCGCCGCGGAGCGCGCCAGGGGCGGCGCCGGAGGCGCCGCCAGTGGGGCTCACCGAAGTCACAGAAAGCAAAACACAAGGCACAATGTGGCTTTTTCCTGCCTCTCCTGGTTGGTTCGCCGCGGGGCATGCTGAGAGGACAGCGAAGGTCAATATCGGCTGCTAGGGTGGGTTGTATCTAGCCAAACCTAGCCTGACAATGGGGTGCAGCTGCCCAAAATAATTAGGGGTGGTGCGGATCTGGGCGATGTTGGCGAAGCCCACTTCGCGGAGTTATCAAACCAACCCAGACTTTGTACTTAGGGCACCTGCAGCCCACTTATAGCCTAGGTTAGGCCAGCTATCACCCACCTTCATATCCACTTCAAACCCCCTTTATACCCTCAACACCAGAGCGGTGATCTCAGTACGGACGAGATCACGGCACGAGCATACGGTCAGGAGCGCTTGCTCAGCGTGTCGCGGCGGCGGCCGCGGCGACACGCTGGGCTCCGCGAGCTGACGGCGCGTCGCTCCGCTCCGCGGGGCGGGAGGCTGGGAAGAGCTCGGGACGTTGCTGCTCGGAGGTGGGGAGGTGGCTCGCGTGTCGCGCCGAAGCGTGGTGGGCCAGGAGCGGCGGCGCGACGAGCTAAGCAGCAGCTCCCGACCGTGAGCGTTCGGAGGGTCGCGCGGACATCTTGGAACTGCGCTGGGTCCCCCTCCCTGCACGCGGAGCGCGCCAGGGGCGGCGCCAGAAGCGCCGCCAGGGGCATCCAGCGCAGATCCAACAAAATCTGCGCAGAGGCCTTCGAACGTGTATAGACATCGTGCTAAGATCAATGGAACGAAGGGGCTTTTCCTGGTTACTGCGAGCCTTGGCAACGAATAGGCT